ACTTTTATAGCACATCTCACAGAAGTTAAAAAGTGAAGTTCGGAAAACATCACACTAGCACTTTTACGGTACTTACCCTGAAAGTTGCTCTGAAACTTTCTATAGATTTTATAATGTGAATTAGTTCTACGGCATTATACAGTGTGTCCACGGATGGACTTAACTATACTTGTGAAAATATTTATTTTAAATTAAAAAAGTAATTCTTCATAATTTACTTGTTAAATAAATTCGATTAACATTAAGAAATTATGAAAAATAACTTTTTTTAATTTAAAATAAATATTTTTACAAGTAAATTAAGTCATTCCATGGACACACTATATTGTTCTTTGTGTAATGTAATACGGAGAGGCTGAAATTGAGGCATAGTAAAAACTCAATCGAGACATGGAAATTTCAAATAAAACAAAATATTTATATAAATTTATTATTAAAATGTTCTTGAAATCAAGTAGTAATATCACAAAAGTAGAGGTAGGTATATCACAAATGCAGTTACACATGTATAGTAGAAGCCACCTATAAAGCACTGAACGATTGGACAAAATTTGCTTAATAGTAATAATAAGGTATCAATATTGCAAAGGTTCACTAGAAGCTTAAACAGTGAACGACTGTACAAAAGTATATTTATATAAGGTACGTTTCAAGATGGCAATTGTATGATGCAAAAAAAACTAGAGCTGTGAATAATAGATGATTGCAACAATGACTTAGGTATATATCATGAGATAGCTGAGGTTCCAGATTGCTTACCTGTACTCACAGAGATATATCATCTTTTTAAAATCAAACCTTTTAACTGTTTTTTTTGTATAGATATTTATATATTTTTATTTTGTTAGTTTATTATTTATACAAAGGTGAACAAAAATTATTTTATTCTAACTACATATTGAATAAAAAAGAGATTGACCTATTTGTTTAACTATTATTGAAGGAAATTATATAGAAAGTAAAAAAATATACTCAAGTTTAAATCGTTGCACTTATTTTTAGGTAATTTTGTCTTACTTTGTTGTTTTAAATAAAAACTCTAATTTTTTTTTAGAATTTCACAAATTTTATGCATAATTATGGATTTCCAAGTAAGTATGAAGATTTTATAAAAAAAAAACAACTCAAGTTTTTTAGCAAGATATTCTGATGTGTGCTCGAGGGCATCTTCTGTGATTTTTCTCAAATTTTCTTCTAGTTTGGCACTTGCTTGAATCTGATGTTGTTTTTTTTTAATATAGACGTACCATGTAGATTCACTTTTTATAAAACTTCAGATGTCATATAGCTATTCTTCTTTAGACAAGTCTGTAGTATACACTAATAACTTAGTGGGTCTTTTGTTGAACTGAAATATTACCTAAAACACACATGTTAGCGACATGCATAGGAATCTCAATTTATATAGCTATTATTCACTTGCAGCCCCTTGCTGAGGCTTTGGCACCTCCAGAAGCCATCATCAGTAATTACCGCATCCTGAACGATCACCAGTTTGATTGCAGTAAGATTTATAACTTCTCAGCCACAAGTATTTCTCCAAATTTAGAAGTAGTGGCTCGTTTTGATAAATTCTTAAAATAATTCCTAAGATAAACTTGAAAAATTAAACATGTAAACTCACCTGTGCAACTTCTAGTACTAAAAGGGGGACCATAAGATAAATTGTATCGTATCGTTAATACCATCAACACATTAACAGCTTTAATAACTATTTGTAGGGGATTATAAACCACAGGGTAAATTGTGCATAAGCTAAAAGAGATATATCAAATCACAGTTAGTTATACTTTTATTAATACCTTCACTCTCCGAATCATTAAATTTTAAGAGCCAGCTACGGAAAAAGGAATTACTGCCACCATTTACATCCTTAAATAGGCCAGTAACGTGGCAACTTAGTTTTGTATATCTCTTTCATAAGGTATTTCAAGTATTTAGAGGTCCTCATTTTATAATTTCATAAACCGAGTCCTTCTAGCTAGCTTCTAACAAAGTTATCAGATATTTCCGGACATTTTTATAATTCAATAAACCAGCTCCAGCTCATTCTGTCGAAAACTACAAAAATATGATCCAAATATTCCCGGACATTTTGATAAAATTTACAACAGGCACTGTAATCTAAAACGAAGAAAATGGTTCAGAAAATAGTTTTCTATTTTATAGAGGATCCTTACCACTTCTACTCAAATGTTTTTAATAATAATTATAAAAGAAATTCTGCAAATTAAAAAAAACAAACATGACATATGACAAGAAACATTGGCAAGTGACAATTGACATAAACAGTTCTTGTTCTTTTTAGCAAATTACTTTATTACGTTGTGTTAACATAACAGGTTGGTTAACTAGGTAAATAACAAATAGAAGTTTTGCGAGGTTTTGATTTCCCTCAACAACTTCTCATGAACGTTACATTTACGTTGTATAGTAATGTTATTACGTTCCCTTAATGCAACATCGCCGAAAGTCTTGGCAACGTTATGTGCTAGCTGGGAAGCCTTTTGATTTTTACCATGCTTTTACAGTTGGATGTAGAAAACAGTTAAAAAGTCGTCAACGGCTCATCAAATAATTAAAGGTAAGAGGAAGTTAATTATACATTTAAAACAAGCGATAATGAGTTCTCAGTTTGCATGTGAGAAACTGTTAAAACGCCGTCAACGGCCCATTGAAAAATTAAAGTTAAAAAGCCGTTAATTACAAATATGAGAAACGGTTATCAAACCATCAACGGCCCATCGAAAAATTAAAGTTAACGGGCAGTTAATTACAAATTTCAAAAGGGCCATAACGAGTTTACCGTTACAAGTTACTTTGCCATTACATTCGTTAAAGGGCCAACAACATGCCACAATTCTGAACCTCAGAACCAGACGGACGTAAGTCACATTTAGCACATTTTCTAGGAAACAAATAAAAGTAAAACTAATAATTTCATCGCTAAGCTACAAAGCTAGTGTTTAAATTAGCATCTTAAAATTGATGACAACATTGAAAGGGAACGTACCTTATCCATTTTTTGTATAATTTTTGTGTAAATAATTTTATGAGAGATATAATTATTGTTGTTCGATTACGCAGGAGTGGACTTACGCTATTATGGTTCTTTATCAGGAACTTGTTTTGGGACTTACATAGTACTAATATTAATAGTAAAAAAAATGATTATGATATTTTAGGAAAACTACACAAACAATCACAATATTTTTATCAACATCAAAAACAATGACGAACTACAAATTTAGCAAACATATATCATTACTCTGGAGCAGTTGAGTCATCATCAGGAAAGTTTTCCTCCTTATCTCCATGTGGAAGGCTCTTAAACAAGGCTCTATACTCCTCAGGAATCCACTGCATTAAATTCATAAGATCTCTGTATTTCTCGTTACTTATCTTCTTTATGGTATCTTTGTTGGCATTACAACCCATCCTCTCTGATTTATTTAAAATTTTACAGTTTTAAAGATTTTATCAGCGAACCTTGTCTTATAGTATAACCTGCTGTCATCTTTGCGAAGCTGTAACCACACTGTGTGAGACATCAAAAATGGTTCCTTGTCTGTGTTTGTCTTCCTTGCAACAAATGGCCCTTCCTTGCTTCTCAAGTGAACGAAATCTAGAAAGTCTTCGAGGCCCATCCTCCTCACAATAAAGGGGTCATTTTTTGAGCACGAACAAATAAAGTTTGCCCAATAATTTGTTGTAAAAATAATGTGACTTTTTAGTTTTTTCTTCGCCCTCTCTATCACACTATGCTTGACATCTACTTCCATGTGTGTGTGTGTGTGTGTCCAGCAAGTAGGAATTTATGATTGACTTCTTCTAGGGTCGGTACTTTTTATAACAGCCACAGATACATGAATACCTTATTAATATTCCTATTTTGGCCACTGCAATTATCTGTCCACACTGTTAACTTAAGTAGATCTATCAGGGTTTCGAAGTTCTTCCATCGCCCAAGTGAATAAACATGATGCTATTCCGTTACCTCCTCGACCGGCTGTAACCTCATCCCACATCATACGCTAAGTTTTGTCAACGATTGTGTCATAAATTGTACTATTTAATGTCCAAAGCTTTCTTCAGTAAAAACTTTGGGAATTCTTCAAATCAGGCGCTGGAAGACATTTTTGGAGATCAGACATAATGACCCTGAAACCTTGATTAGCACGAGCTTCAAGTTTATCCTCTCGTTTTAAGTCATACCTAAGTGAAGCTCTTTTAGGTGGTTTTCTTTTTGTAGTTTAAGATCAATGAGTTTTTCTTCATTTTTAATTTCACAGTGCAGTTTATCGCAAACATCACAAGTACTAAGTACATTGTGGAAATGTTCAGGTGATTCTCCAAATATCTGCGCTTGGATCTTTCTCTGCTGTAGTGGCTTTCATAAACTGGGAACTTAGAAATATAGTTTTTGATCAGTTCTAACCTTTCACTTGGCAATTTATTTGCAGGGGTATGTTTTCCTCTAAGGTTTGGTGTTATCAAACCAGACTCACTGCCTTTTTTAAAGCAACTCTCATAAATGTTTCAGAAATCGAAAGTGTGTTTATAAAAAAAGTTTTGCAAACGACTTCTTCCTTATTATTTAAATTAAAAATAAATGTATGGCTCTCGGTTTTGCTTTTTCTTGTGCTGTCTCTTTTTCGTTTTATGGGTAATGGGTTTATTGGGTAAAACTTCAGAGCCATTAGATATTAAGTGAATTTACGTTCATTTGGTTCAAATAAGGGTTAGGACTTACGCTCTTATAACCGTGCCCAATAAAAAAGGATAAATCTTTAAAGAATATTCGTTGTTATGGCCGGATGGAGAATGAAAGTCTACGGAAAAAACATTAATAACCTGAAAATCGCAGTTTTTGGACTTACGTCCGTCTGGTTCTGAGGTACAGAATTTTAATGTTCGTTGTGAAATCATTACCATCTCTAGGACTTATTTTACGTTTAATTGCTGTTGAGGTTCGTTTTTTTTTTAAATAAAACACAAAATTCTTCAGAGTATGATTCTATTTTTTAAAATCATTAACAATTAGAAACCAAAAGTAAACTATATAATCCTCATTTGTAATTATAAAATATATACAAATATACAAGGTAGTATAACAAAAAGGGAGTACTGCAGATACTGCCATGTGTGTTATTTATTTCAAAGAAAGAATACAAACAAAAAATTCGATTGGAACTAAACTGAAATTTGACATAATTTAACGAGTACTGTATTTGTAGGTATAGAAAATATTTCTATTAGTCGTTTTTATATTTAATATTATTTTCCACCCTGTATGTATAATTTTCAAATGTAAATATAATATGCCAGTACATAAATATATACCTATTATGATCACACATTTTTGAGTCAATTATTTTTCTTTTAGAGATCACAGAAGTGGAGCTGGAAAACTCAGCTACTTATTGTTTTATATTTTACTTACAAAAGTTAAAAACTAAGGCAAAAGCCACAATTATTGGAATGTGGTATTTGTTTTTGCACACTTTAAAGCCAAAATCATTGTAAACTCTTTTGTTTACTTGACATTCCAGTCAAATGACTTAATTTGTACAAGATTTTTTTTGTTTTAATTCTCCAAAAATATTGTCAACAATATCACTTTTAATTTCCTAAAATGGAAAAATTAAAGCTGCCTTCCTTCTTGGTGACTGAGATAACAATATTGCGATAAATTATGAAATATGACAGACTGATTAAACGTCACAATGTCAAATTGAACTTCAATTGTTAGTTGATATTGCACTATAATATAACTGATAATTTGGCAAGTTTTCGTTTTGAAGTTATTTTTTACTCGGCCACCAACGTTTTTTTTTTCTAACAAAATAAAAATTTGTAGAAATATTTCTGAGCGTAAAACATAAGCATCCAATAAAAAAAATTATCTATTAACAAAATAAAAATTCGTGTCCAAAGATAATAAATTAAACTTTTGGCACATAAATCGCTGTAAACAATACAAATTGCACTGCTCTGCCAACTTAAAAACTAAAGCTATTTACAGTTTAGAGCTCGACGTGACACAAGAACGTCAAACTGGCAGCTAGTTTGACGTTTTATTATGACATTTGACAATCTGACAGACGTAAATGATGTTGACGGTTCTTATGTCGAGTCGCCTCTAAGAGAACTTAAAATCACTATTTGCACATAATCGTTAAAGTCTTTATTGGCACCAGTTAATTGCTACATAATGCACTGTTCTTTTTAAACTATTCGCTAGTGATGAGGCCCTACGAGAGGAGGATCTGGCGAACAGACTATATTGATATGTCTAGTATTACTACTGAGGTCTGTAGGTCCGTCCATACTCAAATCTGTGGGTTTATCATCGTACTCGACGGCTGGTCGGCTTTGTGGTAATTCTTCACTTAATTCTGCGGGCTCTGACTTCACCGTCATATGAGTCACTGTTAAGGAGTCAGGTTTTGCGGCAGGAACGTGATTCATCTGATTCGGAGGAGGTTTGGTGTTTGTCGGCGACATTTGTTGTCGCAATAACGAAATGTTTTTGATGTTTTTAAGTTCCGTTGGGTTTCTGAGAAATCTGTAATAAAGAGAATATCAAATTAGTGCTTATTTTTTAAATTAATTGAGTTTATGTTTCTTGAAGTCCGCTACTTGAAAGGTACCTTTGTAGTTCTTCCACTTAATATGTAAGAGCAAGAGATAAATGTGGCTGCTAATGCCCCTTTCAAGTAGCGAGTGAATTATATTCAAAATCAGAAAGAATTTTGTGATGTTTGCAAAAAACGTCTTCCCTACGAGGTAATGTCAGTTGTCATAATTGTAAAATAAGAAATTGCACTCGAAGAGAAAATACCAAATCACAACACATTATTCATTGTAGGAAACTTCAATACTAAAATTGGTAAGGAATATTTACAAAATGATGTAGCTGGAAAAGAAACAATCTAATACTTTCTAAAAAATAAATAGACATCGAGGCACATTTGTGACTTGTGCTTTGAAAACTTTTAAGGTTAACACGTCTAGTAAAGTACTTAGGCGAAAAATGTAAAATTTGCACATTTATCTATAGTAATATCGAGAGAAATAGATGAAATATGTAATGAAATGATAAAATATAGAGGCAGAGAACTAATTATACAAATATGATGAGAAGAAAGTATTTTAGAAGAATGGAAAACAGGAATGATTGTACCAATACCAAAGAAAGGAGATCTAACAAGCTGTGATAATTATAGAATAATAAGACTCTTGAATACAGCTTATAAGAGCTTATAACATTATATTGAAAAAATAATCGGAGAATACCAAATTGGATTTTGACCAGGAATATCAAGCGTACTACCACGTACTAAAGCAACTGATAGAAAACTCATATGAAATAAACATTAAACTACATACGCATTGAATAGTATAAAGAGAAAATAATTAATGAAGTAATAGTAATAGAAGTACCTTAAAAAACTAATAAATCTAATTAGGATAACCATAGAAGGATCAAAAGCAGTCGTATAAACAGAGAAAAAACTAACAAAATAAATAATATACTTCTGAGTATAACCAGAAAAGATCGGAAGCCTGAACAAGAACAGGCTACGCATTGTAACAGGAATCCTCACCGGGCATTGCTGACTCAAAAGACACCTAAGTAAACTGAGAGTAGTAGAAGATAGTGAGAGCAGATTTTGTGAGGTGGAGACGAAATCCCCATTCACATCTGACTGAATGTGTAGCACTCCAGAATCCAAGGGCACTATAATGCTCCTAACTTAAAGCCACTCCAAATCCTAAACTTTCTTGAGAATATAGGATTGGACGGGTCGTATTAATACTCCATACCCAACATAACATAAGAAAAGAAATAGAGATAATACACAGAGTGGGACAAGGAGACGGGCTATCGGCAACATTATTCAACATAGCTGTAGAAGGAATAACACAAGAGTGTGAAATCAAAAGATCGATCATACAAAAAATTGTACAGCTAATAGCATATGCAGACTGCAGACGATATAGTGGTAGTAGCACGATACAGAAAGAGCCTAGAGGATGCTATGAACAACATAAAGCAGCAAAAAAGGACTATAAATGAACGAAAAGAATACAAAATACATGAGTAAGCCATAAGACCAGAAGTAAGGAGAGACAAGGAGAGACAATGTGCCTAACTAATAAAGATAAAAAGAGAGACTGAAAGTGTTCGAAAGAACAATAAACAGGAGAATGGTAAGGACCAAATAAAATAGGCGAGGAGTACAGAAAACTCATGACACAAAAATAAATGCTAAACTCGTATTAGAAGAAGAAGAAAATCATAAAGGCAAAGAGAATGCGCTGATACGGGCACGTACAAATAAAAGGAAATAATGAAATGGCAGCCACAGACGACCGAAAATTCGTCGGGAAAACCAAATTAGATTTAACAACTAACCCTTTTTCTTCTAATAGTAGGTATAGAACATTCCAAATAGTTTCATATACCAGTATTCATCTTATATCCGAAATTCGGCAAAATTATGAAAATAAAAAACATTTAACAGTGATAACGTAATTTTTAAATTATCAAAGATGATTTTTGCAGTCAAATTATAACATTTATGTTTATAATGGACTGGGACTAACTATAAATTTCTTTTCTTCTGAGATTTTTTCAATACAAGCTAACTTGTCAACACTGCTTCAAATGTTAAAAAATGACATGTCACATCACATAACCTCGAAAAAATATTAATTTAAATTTAAGCTTTAAACCATCCTGCGGTGAACAGCTTAAATTTTGGGCATAGTCGGAACATCTGGGGGTACTTTATAGAGAGTCGTTTTTCTATTTTATGGAATATATCTATTATTTACGTTTAAAAAGAAAATTCTTCAAATAAAAGTTGCTTGTAATACATTCTGTAATTTTTGTTAAAAACAAAATTTTTCAAAAATGGCCCGTATTCGAGAAATTTGCCAAAAAGTACAAAACTCGAATTTTTTAGAAAATTATTCAAATATAAGTTTGTTGCCTTACGATTCTCTATAATTTTAATCTTAAACATGATTTTTGAAAAAAGTGCGAATTTCCAATTTTGAAGATTACTTAAAAAGGATTCAAAAGAAAAACACCAAATTATTAAGTTAAGCTTTAATCCATCCTACAATGAACTGATTAAATTTTGGGCACAGTCGGAACATCTGTGGGGTACTTTATTGAAGGTCGTTTTTCTACTTTATGGAATAAATCTGTTATTTACGCTTGGGGAAGAAAATGTTTCAAATAAAAATTGCTTGTAATAGTATTCTCTATAATTTTTGTCACATACATAACTTTCCTAAAATGGTCCATATTCGAGAAATTTGACAAAAAGTGCAAAATTCGAATTTTTAAGAAAATTGTTCAAACAAAAGTTGTTTGCGATATGATTCTCTATAATTTTTATTTTATACATGATTTCTCTAAAATGAACCGTAATGGCAAAATTTGAGAAAAACTGTATAGGTATTTTGAATTTTTAAGTAGGTATTTTCAGGGGCGATATAATAGGTTGTACAAAATAACAGGAAAAAGCCTGCAATAACTAGACAGGAAAGTCATGTGTTGGACACATCAGATTTTTTTATAGTAGGGCCTTTCTCCCTCCTGAACTAGTAGGCCCTGGAGGTCCCAATCCAACACTGCCTAGAAAAACTAATAATTAAAAAGAAATTAAACAACATATCAACTGTTGTAAAATTCTTACAAAAGTAATTAACATAATAGTGGAGACAAGACGGGAAGAATCAATATTATTACCAAGAAAATCACAGGATTCAATAAAACAATATGCATAGCCTACACATAACCTGCCCAAAAATTCCTAAAAGTGATCTTGAGAGCATGGAGGAAGAAACAAAAAAAATTATTGTAAAATATAAGAGGTTCGAATTATATCCTGAAACCAATCGGTACGTAAGTGGTCAAGAAAAATGTATTCCTATCATCAATGGGTTCTAAAGATTATACAATTTACTACATATTATAGCGTGTTTACCAAACAAACCAAAAAAACAAAACGTTGGAATAATTAAAGAATATGCTTCTAGAGAAGTATGAACTCAAAGTAATTATACGAGTACCAGCAAACTGATTTACATTCAGCGGAAGGGAACAAAAGCAAATGAAACAAAGATAATATTGTTATGCAACAATTAGCTAACAAATGAAAATGTATGAAGAAAATTATTGTCAGAGATAGATTTGAATTATTAATTTCTTAATTTTAAAATGATATTTGATGACTACCTGGTAGGGTAGAAGTTTTTTGACGAACATCACAAATTTGTTGTGGATTCAACTGTGTACAATTTGGAATATAACAATAACAAAATAGTGTACTTACTGGTAACAATGCCTCTCTCCTTGGACTTTCCTGAGAATATTCACTCTATAATAATATCTTAAAGCTCTCGACATCTTGTCGTAGTTCATGGACAAATGATTCTTTTGAATCCCCCACAATTTGGCTAGTCCGGATGGATCAACTATTTTAAATACACCGGTTTCCCGGTTTTTCCACGCAATATAGCTGGTATATCGTTGAGCAGGATCATTTAAGAGTTGCTGAAGGAAATCCCACAGAAGCCTTCCATCTGTAATAAAATTATTATTTATAAATAAATAGAAAAATAATTTCCTCATGACAACTTTGAAGTCTTGTTTTAAATGTTAGCATTAAGTAATGCAAAAACTTACTTGTGTTTGGTTCTGAAGGGTCATTGGGGAAAAACTCCCTCCCGGTATTCTTGAAAGCAGCAGGACTTGAAACGGGCTCCTTCGGACTCCTTGGCGGGAAATATGGCATCTGAGACATAAACGAATAAGCAGTAGGAGTATTTGGAGGGCTTCCATTGTAACATTTTTTATCAGCGTCTTCATCTGAATCAGAAGGATTCGAACCACTACCGTTGCTTCCGTTAACACTAAAGATGGAGTGACCGAACACTTGATTATCAGCATGTTGCGGACTACTTGCTTGGCTGTCAACTGATGGAGCTGGACTTAAGGTTACTGAATTGCTTTGTGCCATTAGATGTGCAGCTAAAGAGGCAGCGTGGGAAGAATGTAAGGATTCGTTGTTCTGGGAAAGGATATTCCAGTTAGGAGTAGGAGGATGTGAATGGGGAGATAATGGATAGGGATGTCTGGAAGTAGGAGTAACTGGACTACTTGGCAGCATTCTTTGAAGGTTGTTAGCTTCACGAACTAAAATTTGCAACACATTGTGGAGTACATCACCGGAACCTGGTGCCCGTTCGGATAAATCAGTTCTTGTAAGAAGACACATGGCTTTTCCGTTCATTTGAAACATATCGTGATCTATTGGTTGAATATCGAACTCTCTTTCGGCCCATTGAAGAAAAGTGGTGACATCGTCTCTATTCCATACCCTTGGATCCGAAGGTAATGAAGCTGGTAACTGACTTTTGTAATCCAATAAGGGCGAAGAGGGTGGGTTTTGATGAGAAATGTGCGGGAATCCCAATGGATATCTCCATAAGAGATCTGTATTGAAAGGTAATGGTAACCCCAGCCTGTCCATTGTTGTACTGGTAGGTATCGGCGGAAGGGGACCTGGAACCATCTTCATTTTTACGTCTGAAATAAATAAAAAACTATTATAAATAATGCTAAAATTTAAATGCGTTTTACATTACTTATTCCAAGAGGGGATTTTTTGATTAAATAATAGTTAGGTTTTTCCTGATTGTGATTAAAAATTGTCACTGTAATTTCCATATAACCTGTTTGTTGTGATGGTATGTGTATTTGAATATTCAATGTAAACTATTTAGTTATAAATATACACAGTAACTGTCACCGACAGGTGCGCTAGAGTAGCAGGGTTTTTTATATATTTAGACCAAAATCTGGAGACATTAAAATATGTGTAGGAAGTAGCTGCCACATAAAATCTATTACTTATCTTTATCAGGCGTGATTATGGGTATTATGACAAAGTGTTATTTACAATTCACGTAAATATTTTCCTACTATAATTATCAAATTTTGATATAAATACATAAATACGATATAATTAAAAAAAAAGTTATAGAGGTACATATTAATTTTCCATATTTACTGATAAACCACTGAAAATAAATATAATATTTAATTCGCTAATAGTATAAAAAGTAGCTTACTTAGTTGTTACTAGGTGTTATTACAGAAAATATTTATATTTGTAATATCTATCATCCAAAGACAAACAGCTGATATAATATATTAAATCCATTTTTCTACAATAATTATCAAGTAAGTAATTATATCTTATCTTTTAAAAAGTGATTAAGTAACTATTAGCAGGTTATTGAATAATAATAAGTAATGCTCCAGCTAGCATATAACGTTTCCCAGACTTTCTGAAATGTTCTTTTAAGGAAAAGTAATAACTATACAACGTAAATGTAACGTTAATGAGAGGTTGTTGAGGGAAACCAATACCTCGCAAAACTTCTTTTTGTTACTTACCTGTTACGTTAACAAAACGTAATAATGTTATTTGCTATGTATATGTATACTATATCTCCACGAGAAGTTCTGTAAAAATCACATTGTGTTTTAATGTAATATTTTAAGTGTTTTTAAAATAATCAGAAACCGTAACTACGGCAACTAAGAATCTGCCCAGTGCTCCAAATAATTTACTTCGAAAATGCCTGATAGTCAGTGGTTGTTTTTGGTGGTTTAATTCTGTTACTTTGTGATATACCCATTTATTTTATAACGCTACTTTTGTGGTATTGGTACCTGATTTCAGTAGCATATTGATAATACATTTATACAAAATATTTTCGTTTGATTTTAAATTTCCATGTTTCCTTGCGGTTTTACTATAACATCAATTTCAAATGTTTAATTAACCTCTCAATATTACATAAACAACTTTTTCTAATTTTGACATATAAAATGGCATTTTTTTGTAATCTAAGTGTCAAAATGATCTTTACGCAACCAGTAAAAATAATTCGAACATTACAAAACTTCTTATGTCACCTGTTGTGAAAAATAAACTTTTGGTTTTAAAATCAATTATACACATTATAAAAGAAGGGAAGGTTGATTTATAAAAATAGAATTTACAACCTAGTAATAATGTTGTTTTGGTCCTTATTTTCCATTCTAAATCAGCACAAAATAATTAAAACAGAATACACAACAAAATAATCCACTATCTTGAAATCTAAATAACTTTAACAAGCCTTAAAACACCCTACAATAAGTCGTTGAGAATAAACGAATATAAATGAAAGAATGAAGTTGATCATATGCAACTAACAATACAAGAAAGTAATAATATTGCTTGCCTAGATGTCAGTAATTTCTTACCAAAACATAATTTTATAAATAATCTAGGCAAAATTAAAAAAAATTTTTTTTTCCAATTTTGACATATAAAGTGACATATTTTGTAATCGCAGCAAGTGTCAAAACGATCTACTTAATGCAACAATATGCAACTGATTACGAAAAGTTGATTATGTCACTAGTTACGAAATGAAAATAAATAAAAATGGCTCTTTTTTTGGGTATTTTATTTATCTTAAAACACCTATATAGGTAATTTCAGATTAAGAAGTCAGTGTGGACAAGAGATGAAATAGATCATTCGACGTCAACGTTGCCAAAGTTCATGCAGGAGACTCGTAAAATATATTATAGAAATAAGTCAAGTTTAAGATGCGATTATGGTTTCATATGGTAACGAATTTTGTAAATCAAAATGTAAAATATAATGAAAATAAATTTGACAAAACTTAAAAATTTAAATTTGATAATATTGATGAATATATAATCGGTAATAATCCAACAGTCAAGGGTGATTGTGTTATATATATTCGACAGTCAACCAAGGTGCAAAATGTCAAACTGACAAATTAAAAGATGTAAAGTAAAGAACTGGGGAGCGACATATTTGAAATATGGTTGGAGTTTTGTTTAGGCTTTCACGAGACTCTCGAATTTTGAGATTTCTCGTTTCGATGTATGTTGATTTCTTGAATCGATGATCGAGACAAGACGAGAAATTCCCTTCGAAACGAGATTTCTTGTCTCGGTGAAACTTTAGTTTTCTTGCTTAAACTCCCTACTGAGAGAAAAAACGTGTTAATTTTAGGCAGTGCTCCATACCATTCGAGAAAATTACGATTTTCGAGAAAACTGGACATTCTTTAAGACATCGTTCATAGCATTGCCAACTTAACCCAATTGAACTGATGTAGAGTGAAGTAAAATGTTGTATCCTCTCATAATGTGACGTTAAAGCAGGCGACGTAAGAAACTTAATATATATGAGAGTCTCAAAAAGTTGAGGATAATAATTACTGGGAGAAAAATATTAAGCATACATTAGAGATTGAACAGGAGTTTTGGACAGTGGACAATATATAAGATAACTTCCAACTTCCTGAGTTATAATCTCACTACAATCCGAGTCAGGCGAAGCTACAAATAATTACAATGATCCCTACAATTTAGGGTTTATCAGGTATTATTATTATTATTTAAAAAATCCGTGACATTTCGACTTTTTCTATAACTTTTACGATACTTTTATTAGCGGTATACATGTATGTTTTACTTTACAAAACGTATTTCATTTTGGTTTTAGGTTTTACGCCAATTTTGTCAAATCTCGAGAATGCACGTAGAGCAGACGGACGAACATTGGGGCATTAATTACTGGAAACTTTGGGCGCCATGCTTTAAATAAAAAAGCATGCTTTTCTACTTCTGCCTAATTCTGACATTGGCGAATTCCATCAATTAGTCTTAGATTCGTAATAGCTCTGACCGCCAGACACTTATTAGTAATGTTTCTTTGGAAAAATTATGTTCATAAAACAATAGATATCGATCTCTTTGTTTGAAAAATTCCATAACAACATAATGTGAGTAACATTATTCGCTTATCGCGGACGGTGCGGAACATACATCCACATATTTCCTCGATACATCACATCACCTGGTATAGCTCTCGAGAAGTGGAGCCCGAGTCGGGGCAAGACAAAGCCCGCAGCCAGCAGAGCGTGTATTAAAATAAGTATGACATGAAGAAATCGCCTGAAACCGAGTAGGAAGTGAGGCAATGATGCAGTGCAAATTATAAAAAAAAATATACGATAATCACCGGCTTGGCGTTTATGTAGGTTTGACGCTCACGGAAGTTATTTCAAGGTGAAGTAAGTGTTTTTAAACTCGTTTGCATATCGTTTTTTCCACTACAAACGGGAATTCGTATTTATTCTTAGTAGGTACAAGTATTCGAATTACAATATGGTGGTTAAAATAAAATGAATTATAAATTCAAAGATTTGTCAAAAAATATAAAATATACAGGTTTAAATGAGATTTTAGATGAAAAACAACTTTATATAGTGCAATCACATCTGTTGAGAACGGAATTATTTGATGAGATCGTGCAGCAAAATCTACCCTAATGATGCATTTTTTATTGAAATCTGTTTGTTTGACATGAGACAACTGTACTGCCAAACTATACTAATTTACATTTTTAAAAATAGAATAAAAATTAATTTACATGACTATTGTACCAAAGAGAAAAATGCATATTTAACTAGGTCACAAAAAACCACTGGTCAGCGATGTCCCAGTTACTTTGTACCTAGGTTATATAACTTATTGCTTATCAATATCAAAAATATCAGAAATGTAAGAAGTCATAAAATGAGTATGGAGCAAGGAGTTGGATCACAAATCAAAATATATATAGATGTATTTTCAATAATTTAATAATTCAATTTTTGGAAAATTATGAAAATGAAAAATCCCCAATTCCCCTACGAAATTATGAAAATTACACCCTTATATCCCCAAAGTGAAAACGAACTAAAGAAAAAATGAAAAAGTTGATAAAGAAAGAAAAATGAGTGCACGGGCCGGGAGTTAAACCCGGAATCTGAAAGAGGAAAATAACTATTATTTTCCTCTCTTGATTAGGGGTCGTTTTCTAGTAAGGTAGTAGAAAAATACTTAGACCACAAAAATCAAAGGACGAAAATGTTAAGTGGCTTCTATTTATAAAAAATGTTTTATTTGCAGTTTACTTTCTAACAATATTAACTCTATTTTTTCGATTGTAAAATAGTAGTTCATAATCCACAACATATTTTAATACAAGTATAAGAGAACAACCAACGACAAAAAACCATTCATTCAGATTGTTTTATATTACGCAGACAGAGCTGTCGCAACGGCTGCCGCATTAGAAAGGAGACAGTTGCTAATTTGAGTGGGGATGATTTGTGCAAGTTTGTTTTTCTGAAGAGCTAACATACGTTTTATGAATGAATTAGTATTCAAGTTTACAACACTTGCTTTACAATGCTATTGACTTCAAAATATAATGCTACTCGATGATTGTTGCAACGAGAAAAATGGATTAAAATGATAATAACTGGCATTAGGAATGCAAATATACTTCCCGATAGTCAAGCAGCCAACAAAGCGCTGAGCTCAAAAATGGTCTGGAGATGCCTAGAACAATTGAATGAGCTGGGCGAAAAAAATAGAGTTACTCTCACTTGGGTCCCGGGACATAACGGGGTACAGGGTAAGGAGATTGTAGATAGTCTTGC